TGAGACAGCTTAGGTACAGATCCTAATCAGTAGCTTTCCAAGTTTTACCTGAGTTGATGGGCGTTTAAATAAGACAACAATTTTCCTGTTCAGAACTGCTTGTTTTAATGATTTCCCGATGCTTTTCGACTCGGCACCGTTGTGCGCCGCACGACTTTGCACCCATTGTCGGCGTGGACCTGCCTAGAGCCAACAAGTTTTGCATAACGTACGTTTCCACCCGAATAGGGACATCTGGAAGCCCAAATTTGGAATTTTTTCATTCTCTATTTTATATTTGGTAAAACTTTAACGTATTTTTGATTAACAAATTCAATGATTTCAAAGCGAGCAATGGCAAAACTGTAGGGAAAAAAAAAAATTATCTGCAGCGCGCCAAACTGTGTATCGTAAATTCTAAAGTAATGCTCATTTAAAAATTATTTTGCAATGTTGCTGTTGAACTGAATTTTATGGTTTAAGTGCTAAGAACATGATATTTAATAAACAAAGGTAACACACAAAACGTTAAAAAATGCCCCTTTGAGCGTAATGTAAAATTTAAAAGCTTTCAGAATTTGATTTATTTATTTATTTATTTATTTTTATCTGTTTAAATTTCTTTTATGCATCGTTTTAGATTTCTTATAGTATTTGAATAGAACATGTGGCAGCGATTAGATAATTCTTCAGATGATATAATTTTTTTGCATTACGACTTATAAAATGAATGAGATGTAACGCTGTTAAGTGAACCTAGCGCCAGAGTATCGCTATGGTAAGTATAGTGAATTTAAAAATAAGCATTTATTCTATTGTAGGTTATGCATTACCTACGAAGTAGATTTAATTCAACTCAAGTTTAAACTGAATGCAGGAAAAAATGCGTATAATTTAGTATTCCTCATAAGGAAGTCATGTGGTGTACACATCAGATTTTTTCATTTTATAATTACACGTTCTTCCAATGTTCTTTCAGTTTCTTCAGATTTTACTATTATCTTTTTCCCATTTGTATAATTACAAAAACAAAATTGAAATATAAATCACTTTAGAATACAAACTCTAGTATCTAACGCACACATTTTGTAGATTTTTACAAAGTTTTCCAACAGCAACTTTTTAAAAGCTGCATTTTTATTATATTCACATAGATCATTTGGTTAAAACTCCTATCCATTTGGAAACATTCGTCATTTCTGCCGTATCGTCAAAGCACTGTAACATTTCTTGGCTCAAGGTTTTCTTTGGTCATTTCTAATTCTTTTTTTATACTACTGTGCCTTCTTTAGTGAGAAAACCTGTCCTTAGGTAGATTAAATTAGTATCATCATCTTTCGAATTTTCATTAGCTATTATTGCCTTGTCGTTTTTAACGCAACTTACAAATATATTATTATTTACATTATAAAGTTGAGTTTCATTCAAAGTTAATTGAACATAATAAATTTTTGTCCAGTTCTCTGTAGAGATCGATAAGGTCAACGTTATTTCCTGTGTCATTATTATTTACATTACCTTGTTGAGTTTCATCCAAAGTTTGACTTTCTTCATAAAATATTTTCTGGTACACTTACGTATAAAGACTGATAAGGTCAGTCTCATCTCCTGTCTTCTCATATATATTAGCTTGTGATACAGATTCAACTTTCAAATTATTTTTTCATCATAATATCTTTATTGAAATTCAAATTGCGTACATAAGTTTGCTATTTTTCAGTGCACAAACAGATGTAGAAATAATTATTATATAATTGAAAACAAGTCTGCAGTTTGCCTGATCTATGTTTTGTGCTATTTCTTACTTTGAACCATACATTGTGTTACACCGAACTGAAATTGTTAACAGAGACTACTGCCACAGAAGTCTAGAGATGGAAAATTATGGTTAGACAAACATACACCTGGAGTTTGGAATCATGCCATGGCCGTATAAAATATTTTCTCTCCTCTTCCCGCATGCCTTCATGAGCCTTCATTCGAGAGATCCAGGGCTCTATTCCCTGCGAGAGCATTGCACATTTTTCACATCTCCAGCATTAAAAACCTTAATGACTCTACAACCTTTCATTGCCTGAAGAATACTTGTTAACACAGGGAACAAAATAGGTTATCGGCATTCGTGCGATTACGGCAAGTGAACATTTAGTGTATTTAATCCAAGAGAAAACAACCCCTCTTTATTTTACAACTTAAGGAATTTCAATCTTTAATTTTCACAACATGAAACAAAACAAAAACAAAACAAAAAAATAAGGTTACACACGTTGCCACTGACAAACTGACTAGAAAACTGCTATAAAAAGAAAATCGGTACAACATGGAGTTAATCAAAATTTAAGACGTGACATTCTACACTTTTAAGTTGTCGGGAGGCAACACGCAGATGGAACATATTCGAGTTTTAAAGTTATTATAAGTTCATTCTCTGTTGGGCCTTTATTATTTTTCTACTTTTGGTTGTAAGCTTCTTCATATCGAGTACGTAAGTCATTGGTCCACCAAGATGTTCTTCATTCACGTCTTCAGATTCTCTCTTTCTTACAGAATTTTCAAGGGCTGCTGAAAAACAGACTTGTAGAAGAATGGAATATAGCTCTTCATAGAACTTCCGTGTATAGAACCTAGTTCTCAATATATCATATAACATCAGACGATAGAACAGAGTTCTTCATAGAACATTGAGCTTCAGGGAATAGAGCATTGAACTTCAGGGATTGGAACATAGTTCTTCACAGAACTTCAAGGTCTAGAACTAGTTTTTCATAAAACATATGGTGATTTCCTATATGTTTTACCACCAATCCTCGAATTCCATATCACTGCATTAATATAAATATTAACAAGACATGGTGCACAATAAAAATTAAGCTTTATTTCGGAACTTCGCGCACACTCCCCGACAGCCGGCCTGTCTCGCTCCTCTGCTGTCTGCTCGCTACTCGTAAGAAACTTCTCCTCTAGGGTTGCCACACTTATCGGAGGGCGCAAGGCGCGCTCCTTATCGCCATCACCACAGAGTTCCCCCCCCCCAATTCCTGTAATGGCTATTCAAAGGAACGACATAGGTTATGAAATTATCTCAGAGGATTGCCACACTTATCGGAGGGCGCAAGGCGCGCTCCTTATCGCCATCACCACAAACATATAACATCAGGGACTAGAACTCAACTTCAGAGAATGAAATTTAGTTATCATAGAGCACAAAACTTCATTTAATAGAGAATAGTTCTTCACAGAATACAGAACTAAGACTAAATGAAGAATCGTGGTGGACCAGAGACTTATCTACTCAATATGAAGAAGCTTACAACCAAAAGTGGAACATATGCGTCCTCCACAGAGACTGGACTTGTAAAAACTTTAATATATTCCATTTGGGTTATGTTGCCTCTCGACGACTTAAGGTGGGAGGGTGTTACATCTTAAGTCTTAACCAACTCCAGATTCTTAACGATTTTCTTTTTATAATGTTTTTTTACTGTGTTTGTGACTGGTAACGTGTGTAACATTACTTTATTTTATGGTGTGAAAATTAAAGATTGAAACTCGAAAAGGAAAAGTTAGCTCGAAAAGGAAAGGTTTTTGTTCTTTGAATTAAATACACTAAATGTTCACTTCCCGAATCGAACGAATGCTGGTAGTATATTTTATTCTCTATGTTAAGTATACTCCCATATACTCGTGAGCCCATTTATATGCAGTTCTGCTTTCCTACGAAGAACTGTTCTAGTAGACTGGTGTAACAGGTTTTGGCACTTTAACGCAGATATACAGGATGTGTCTGAAATATGAATTCACATTTGAAACATATTTAGTCTGTTACACTATATTGTGCAGAGAAGTGATAAATGACGTATTAAATATGAAACATGATTTTTATTTTTTGAAATAACTTAATGTCTGACCTTGTATAATTAACCAAGAGGGTTTTGAACTTGCAACAGCAAACCAAATGTAAGCTGTTGCGTAACTGTTGTGAAGATTGTGGCTGAAGAAATGGAATGTTTGTAGCACTATTGACGTCGACGGCAGGAGAACAGAGAAAACGATTACTTACGACGAGAAACATACTCATAAGAATACTTTCTGAAAGAACTCGCAGTAGCACAGATGCAGCGACAATGGTGAAGGTTGTGAAAGCGTTCGAAACGGTAAGCAGTTTGAGGCAATAAAATGCATCCAAATGGTGTAGTGTTGTGCTATGTTCACTTTCAAGGCTTGATTTTTCAATGCTTTTTATCTCACTTTTCTTAGTCATTATATTGCCATCATACATGGCGATCAAGCATGTAGATACGTTTCTCACTGTTCTTGTATATTTATATATCTTTTACTAGCGGTTTCAGAAACACTTGCATTCTTTATAGTTCTGATATGATAAGAAATTTTTCGGGAAGGTTTTAATCCTTCGTGTCTTTCAAAACTGCCCGAAAAGGTTTAGGTTTTAAATTTAAAATGAAAACTAAATTAGAAGACTTTTTATTAAATTGGTAAGTGTAGTAATTTTGAAAATTCTACTAAATGAATTTCAAATTTTAAGTAGGATTTAATTTCCAGTGTATTCTTGGAGTTTCTATATCCCTGTAATAAACTCACCCGACTAATTGCCCAAGAGGTCAAAATAGGGGATGTACAATTCATTCATATGTTGCGTTACGGTAAGAAATAATTTTACATAGTTTTGTTCTTAAAACATGATCTTTATAGATAATGTAGGTATCTAAGGGATCTTCAGGGTTCAGTCTGTGCTATAGAAAACATAATGGTACGGAAAATTATTGTTAGAATGCATCATATACAATTAAGTTTACTCGTGTAGTAAAATTGCGAATAAACTGTTGAATTGTTAACTAATTCGTTTGCGCATTTATGAAGTTTGTTTTAATATGTTTTCTGACTAAAAAGTTAGATAATTTATACAGTTAGAAAGTATTTTAAGAAACTATATATTTAAGTAAATTTTTCACTGCTCAAATGAGTATTCAGCGAATGTAACTGAATTCGAATACAAATATAACTTTTCAACAAAATAAGTTTACAAATTTATTCGCACAATTTGACTAGTATTTTCACAGTATCTACAACAAGACTTTTCCATAACCAACCTTGCTTAGGCCGAGAACACCGGGCCCATAAGCAAGACCATGTCCAGCAAGTCTAGTGGTGTAGGCTACATCATGTCCAAGTCCAGTGGTATAGGCAAGGCCATGACCTAAAGCATCAGAGTAAGCGAGTGGTGCTGCTCCTAAGATTCCAGTATGGCTAAGAATTGGGGCACCATAAGCGACAGGAGCTGTTTTGGCCACGGTCGTGTAAGCAAGAGGAGCTGCCTTAGCTACGGTAGTGTAGGTGAGAGGTGCAGCTGCGACGGCAACTGGAGCAACTCCATGGTTGACGACAGAACGCTGGATGGAATAGGAAGCAGGGGTGGCGATGACTGACTGAGAAAGAGGAGCTGCAAGAAGTGGTGCAGCGGGTGCTTTCAGAGCGAGTCCAGTTCCGTAGACTGCTGGGGCGAGATATCCAGTGGCACTGACGGCTGCAAAAGCAGCGCATAAGAAAGCTATCTGCAGAAACATGATTTTTATTAGTATTTATTGATTATATTTAAGTTAAAAAATAGTTTTAATACTCTTTTTTTTAGGAAATATAAAATATACTTTTAAATTAATTCAAAGGCTGGAGATTATCAGTAACATTTGGCAAATAATGAGTGATAAAATGGTTTAGATTGATGGACGATGTAAAGTTGTGTATAAAGCTGTACAGGTGCATCTAAAAATTTGAGCTTAGAAAAATTTATAAAATGTTGCTTTTTTTTAAGGAATATTTTTCATTTATAAGTGAAATTTCTGCTATTCAGTGATGTACACGTAGATTTCGTTTCCTTGGTTAAAACAATGTCATTTACACATTATTATTTTTCTAGCAAATAAATTAAATAAAATATTTTAAATGTCAAAAATCAGCACACTTGAATCTATTATAAAAGTATTGTATAGGTAGGGTAATATTTCTGCGTTATTTAATGTAATGTCCGCTGGTTTTATATACGGTGACTGAAAATGTAATTGCTTGAATATTAGTGTAGGCATTTGGCTTGTAAAAGCAGTTCCTCAAAGGGCAAATGACAGGTTGCTAGTACACTATCAATCTATGAGCTTCGCCTGAGTAATCTAAATTGTATAAGCCCTCATTTTGCCATATTAATTATTATAGGCGTAGGTAAGGACCCCAGAGTACTACAAAATATAAGAGGGGGCGGTATGATTCTGTTAATACGACTTTAATGCACCACAGTAATAGAAAAGTTTTATCAGGTAAAATCAGAAAATATAAAATACGTTGCATTGAATATATGAAAGCAAACAGCGGTGAATGTTTATAAATTTATGCACACATATTCGCTTGTGTAAATTTATACTCATTTTATTTAAATTTACATTGTTTCTAAAAATTAAGGCTATATTGCGATAACTGAATAACCCAACGAAAATCCAATTTATTTATGAAATGCCTTTTGCACACAAAGACAAAAAATGATAATAGTATGTTTCAATAGCACAAGTATACTTAAATTTAAGTAATGCATTAAGTAATGCAAAACTCATGTTTATTTCGTATTTGCATTGCTAAATTCATAATTAAAGGTGCATTGTTTTTGTTACAGCTAATGTCCGATAATCTAGCACATTAGAAATTTGAGCGATGCCGGAATACCGGATTATCAGACTAAAATTGCCTATTGAAGCAAAAAATACTACACCTTTTTTATGGAATTGAAGAATGAATAAAAGTCGTATCGTAATTTTGGGTTTTCCTTAAATGAATAGTAATTCTGCAAATATATTTAATGCAAAAAACGTAGTAGCAAATAACTTTATTAAGATTTTAATTATATCTAATCACTTTTTAGTTTGAAGTCATCAATAGTGCCACTGTATGAAAATCTTTCAAATAATATTCGTATGTCTACCTAGCTGCATAAATACCAATCTTCCTTTCTTCCTTTTTTTAAAAAAAATATTTCTAGGATATGCATTTTCAGGTTTTCTCAAAAATTTTTTTTATCTTTTGGCTATTTCGCGTTTAAAATTTCAACACTTTCATGTCAGGCTTTTCTAAGAAGTTAATAATTATCCAACTTCTGGTGATATAGTAAATTCACGTATCTTTGTTTTAGACCCTTATCAATATTTTATTAAGCTTTGGAGATATTTTAAATATATAATGAAAGCAAATAGAATGTAAGCAGGAAAGTTTAAGTAAAGGACTAACATTAAAGATCAATGAATCAATCAATAAATAAAAATGTCAAGCAGCTGCCGAACTTTACTGAATATTGTTAATCTTAGTGGTGTCGCATTTTAATGTAGCAATATAGGTCAAAAAAGGGACTAATTATCGGTTGTGTCAAAACCACTGCATACCAAATTACTGAACTTCTACTGTAGTGATTTAGATATATTGCAATCAATATTATCTCACAATGTGCCTTTTTAATATTTATATGTTCTAGAGAGAAAACAAACTTTTCCCATTTGTAAGTAAAAAATGCTGCTTATTAAAATTATTCCGCTGTTTTTTTATTTAAAAAACATTATTAGTCCAAAGGGGCTTTGTCCCCGAAGGACTATTGTTTTCGTTTTGCGATTTTGCGTCGGACTCATAAACGTCGGTTCACTTTTCAAACTGTTGCCACAAAATGTTAGAGTCCTGCATTATATTTGAAAAAATTAAATAATGAAAAATCTGCATAAATGATTGTCTATTTCTCGCATTGTGATAAAACATGGTACATAGAGCCATCGAATTTTGAATGACGAAATCCTACTGCGAATATGGGCATCTGAATCCCAAATTTGGAATTTGGAAGTTGTTTTATTATAGATCTTCTATATTTTGTAAACGTTTAACGAATTTTTGATTTACAAACTCAATGCTTTAAAAGCGAGACAATGGTAAACGTTACTGTAAAAAAAAAAAAAATACTTTTATCTCCAGCTCGCGAAGACTGTGTATATCCGGAAATTCTAAAGATATGCTCGTAATTTAAACATTACTTTGCGATATTGCTGTTGAACTGAATTTTATGGTTAAGTGCAAAGAACATGATTTTTAATAAATAAAGGTAACACTCAAAACGTTAAAAAAAGGCCCCTTTGGACGTAATTTAAAATCTGAAACATTTCAGATTTTTGTTTTGAATTATGTTTCAATAAAAATGAAAAAAATCCTGCTTGTTAAAATTTTTCTACTGCCGTTCAGTTAAAAAATTGTGTTCTAATAAAAATAGGTGAGTTATATTTTATTCTCCTAGAAGTTATTTATTTATTCTATAGATGTTTAAACAATAGGAATTACAAGGAATTCATATGCAAAAGAAATAACAAAACAAAAAGAACTATATTACTATAATATGTACGTCAGTTTTATTAAAACAACTTCTAAAATTTAAGCTAATTTATGCATGTAATTTAATGGATTTATTCACAGCTAAATATTGGATACTAATACATGTTATCTTTTATTCTTTACTGCAACGTATAAAAATTTGCATGTATACGTATCAGTACATGTATGATAATGAGCATTGTAATTCAATTTAATTATTATTATTATTAAAGTATTTTAAAATTTAAGAGCGTACATTTAAAGAAACTGGCACACCAAAAAATTTTTTTCTAATAACTGAAATTTTTGCTGTTTTATATATGTTTTATATATCTTGACAGCTACCTTGTCTGCGCTATGCATCGGACATGGACCAAACTACCAACACTGCGGTGCTATAGTTACAGAAGTTTAAGATAAAATGCCGAATACAATAATGGAACATCCTATATCCAGAACATCAGTGATTTTCGTCGATGATTTTCAACTTTTTATAGAACAAACTCTTAAATAAGCCTTAGAGAATAAAAAGTTAAATTTTTTAAAAATAAATTAGGTGACAAATTATGCTAGCTTTTTCATCATTGTGGCCGTAATCGATTTCCTTCCTCATTTATTTTTTAGTCCTTGCCTATGTCAGTATGACGAACTGAGGTAACCAATTTATTTCTCTCATAGCCGTTGGCACACTGGTCTGAACCTTACAGAAAATTGCATAGCAAAACCAAAGTAGTAAATTATGGTTAGCAAAGTTTCTTGATATTTTAGATACTATTATGAAGACTAGATAGCAATATTAGTTGGTATATGAATTTAACAGCTGATTTCAGCTAAGTGCTCAATAACTTCAATAAAAACTCGAGTCCCTGGACAAGATTTTTATCAAAATTAAATAATCTTGAACAGGTTATATTGTTTAATGATGGTAAATGAATTATTAAAAAAAATAGACTTACCTTAGCGATCATTCTGAAAAAGGAATTAGCTAATGCAAAAGAGCTAGTGAAGCACCATTTCGAAAATCCTGTATTTATACTGGAATCTGAAGAAGGTCGGCGAGGTACAGAACAAGCATTAGAAATTATAAACGAGATACTAATGACGTCAATTCCATAGTTTGAAAACTAACCTACCGTTTATGAAGGTCTTCACTCTATCTTGAACGTTGAAATAACGCCCAATGAATAACCTTCCTGAAGACTTGATTCATTGATTTGAAGAGGCGAATATTGTATTTGTTATAACAGCATTTGGGCGAGGTGGTTATTCGATTATTCTTTCCTCTTATTATGAGATGGACATGTTTGCTTATTAAAAAAAAACATTTGACATCTTCGTCATATCTCATTAAGTTATAAATCTAAATTGGCTGATAAATGACTTCTAACCAGTTTTAAATTCTCAAGAAAAAATTTTTCAAGCTGCAGATCTCAGATTACAATAGTGGAGGGTAGGCTGGTTAATGAAGAATAGTTAGGGATGGGTGTTTCCTTTTCAGAATTTTAATTTATTTATTCTGTGTTGCAAATCAATGTTTATGAGAAATTTTTCAGGGTTCCTCAAAAAAAAAAAAAAAAAAAAAAAAAAAAACTTGCAAAGCTGTATTAAATTTATCAGCATCAGCTTATTAATAAAACTAAGATTAAAATTAAACAACTAAATTATGTTATTTAAACAAATAGGTGCTTAGAATCGCCTAAGTAAAGTTTCAGCAAATAATGGCATTAAAACGTAGCAGGTATTTTCAAACACTAAAAGGTCATATTGAACTAAATTGTTTTATTTTTTTAAAAAAAATATGCTTAGAATCGCATAAGTTAAAACATAGTGAAGCTTGAGAAATAATGACACTAAAAGTTAGCAGATATTTTCAAACACTGAAAGGTCAAACTGAAGTTTATAATCATAGCAATTCCTAAGATTCCTCTTAATATGACTGGATTGGACAGTTTTGCACAGTGTTTTACATTAGCTACACTTTTATTACTTCTTTGTTGAGGAAGCATGATTAAAGATAATATATTATTATCAAAAATTAATTTCGTATTCAGAAGCTGAACTATATTTTAGTTAATCGTTTTAATGAATACATTTTCCTTTTCATCGAGAACTGACTACAGCAAAATACATTAAATCACTTCATTACTTCACTTTTACATTAAATCACTTCTTATGCTGAAGCAAAATTTCTAAAAATAGTTATGTTGTAGGGAATCTAATGCTAATTAACCAGTTATTTTAATCTCAACTATTACTATAACTTCTTATTCTTCTTTCTTAGCCTTTACTATAACTTACACAACTCGTATTCCTCACGTGAATACAAATAGTAGTGAGTATTTAAACTGAGGTTTTGGGGATTTAAAAAAGAGAGTATTTCTGGCATCGCGTGCGTGCTACGTAGTTAGATTCCTTCCAGCTCTAATAGTTGCAATTTAGGCTTTGCGGTTTCTCGCTGCTAACATTTAAATTCTGATACTCCGGTATAGTTATTGAGCCAGCTTCTAATATAGTATTTAATTGTGTAGATCGTGACTGCTGTTCAACATTTGATTGAAACTGGATTATTCTATTTAATTGCATTAACGCGAGTTGTGGTTATATTGTAGCACAAGATTGTGCACTTATGTTATAAATTCTGCTTAAATAAAAAGGTTAGATTAAGCTTCTTAAGATTTGGTTCTTGTTCTTAAATAAACCGATAATTCGCTTCATGTCTGTTAGGGTTAAAAAACTTAAATAATATTACCAGATCAATGGTAGTCCTATAATGTGTTATTAGTTTTTGCGAAAAATACAACTTTAAATGTGTTTATAAGTTACAGAATTCTGCTAGCTGTTTTAGTATACTTTTTATTTAGGAATCAGATAACCTAAGTGATCAGGCATTCCTAATTTTTAGAACCTGAGACTTCCCGAGTCTCAGGGCCTTCTGTGTATAGCATAATGAATATAACCTGCAGTTAGCACTTGGACATGATTATTATTATTAATTAAACAAATGGATATTTACTTTTGTATTTATTTTATTTTATAATATGCAGAGAAAAGCTGAAAATACTGAAAAATTATTTCGGCAGGGAAAATATGGAGGTTATACATTTTTAGATATTAAAAATTATTAGATTAGATTATATATAATATATTAGATATATTAGATTATTAGACATAAAAATGATTAGATATTAAAAAAAGTTGTCTATATAAACTGCTGATCTAATCTAAGTGATCAGCGGTCATTTCTGAAAATTTTCATGAAATGATGTGAAGAAAAAGAAAAATGAACTTTCACTGTTTTAATAGTTAAGGGAAAAAAAAATAGGAGACAAAGCAATTATGTTCTTCAGGATGCGCGATATTATCAATACTCAGCTTCAAATAAGCAAATAAATAAATGTTAATTGACCATATGGATGACTTTAACATAACCCGTTTTTTACTTTTGAACGCACGATTTAATTGGCGGTATCCTTGCCGCATGGAAGCAACTAACGCCCATCTGTCGTCTTCTGTAGAAAATTAATGAAGTTAAAATTATTTCTCATAACCTTTCTTCTTCCTTTTGCTGACCCTGATTTTCATACGTTTTCTGAATCTTTATTATGTGCCCTTGATTAAAATACTCTTAATTAAAATTTAAAAGAATTCATAGAAAGAAATATTTGAAAAGACATGTTAAATTTTGACAAAAAACGAAATTTTAAGTTGTGAATTCAAAAGCGAGTAAAAAATTTGCTTAGTATAAAATCTGCAATGAAGGAGTGCATGAACATAAACAAAACAAATACCTAAAATGCTGTACTTTTTAACATCTGAAAAGAGGTGCTATTGCTTTCCTTAAACTAACTTTGGATATTAACAAAAAAGAAAAAAAAAAAAAAAATGCATAAGATCTTTCAGTTATTTTTCAAGCCTATGCAACACATGATTTGTGTACTTTAATCCAAGGATCTTTTTAATGATATTATGATGCTTTGCAACAACAATAAGTTTCTCTTTGCTTATGCTTTTACGTCGAAAATAAAATAATGTTTCATATCCAGACAATAGTTCAACTGTTGCAAATTTGTTATCAGGAAAATAATGCAATTAAATGAATAATTTCCAATTTCTAGTGTAAAGCAAATCTTTTCCAAGTATTAAACAGGGATTTAAAGAACAGGGTCAGATTAAAAATTTTCAAACCTTTTTATTTACATTTCAAATTGGGAAAAAACACTTCAATTTTATCACAATGTTCCATGTTCATAAAACTTCAAATTTTTGTCATCAAAAAATGAATTGAATGAGATTTTATATTAACAGCGTCATCCAAAATTTTACCATTTAAATATTTCTGAACAGAACAAAATAAATGGAAATCTGAAGGTGTATGTGACAGCACATCCAAACCTAGCTCCAATAATTTTTGGCGAGTGATCAAAGATGTGTGGGGCTTTGCATTATCATGCTGGGAAACAACATCCTTACAATTTGCATATTCTGCCCGATTTTCTTGCAATACCTCGCTCAGTTTGGCGAGTTGTGTTGAACACAGACGTTAGAATTAACCTTTTCATTTCTGTGTAAGAGTTCAAAGAGCAGAATTCCTGTCTAATCCCACCAAACTGACAGCATAATCCTTTTTTGGTGAATCTCAGCTTTTAATGTTGTCTGGGCTGGTTCATCTTGCTCCACTCATGATCTTTGACGATTAACATTATTGAACTATTCACATTTCATTGCCAGTAATCAGTCGTTTCAGAAATAGATCAATTTCGTTGTTTTTCAGGAGCGAATCGCAGATACTAACATGTTACGTCAAATGAATTTTCATCAAGCTGCTTTAATTTTTTTTTTTTTTTTTTGAATGCATGTATGTGATAAACTGAACTTCTCTGAAGTCTCTCGCATGGTGTTATTTCAATCTGAATCGATAATGGGCCTTGAAACGGATCTCATCAGCTTTAACTGGACGGCCAGATCGTTGCGCATTTCTAAGAGAAAAACTACCGAAACCAAATTTGGGCACTGCCTTTTTTCAAGCATTCATTTCCATTTACGGCATATAGCTTCCTGCATGCTTGCAATGCGTTTCTGCCTTTTCAGACAACATACAATAAAATATGTTTGAAATGCGAATCTTGTTCTTCCATTTTTAAATTAGGATAAAAACGAAATTAAATAACTAATAGATATAATTTTCTTACTAATTAAATGTGGAAGTCCAAATAACAAGAAAACAATATAGGCTATTTTCTTTGAAAACTTTATCAAAATAAAAGAATGTGCTAAAACCATCTATGAATAAAATCCTCAATCACTTAGTTGCCACCCAATAGTAACATAATTTTTTTTTTTTTTTTTTTTTTTTTTTTTTTTTTTTTTAAATTTTGAAGCCAAGTCTTACCGAACGAAATTTGTAATCTATATTAAATCACAATCAGCCCTCAAATGGAGACATGGATCAAGCAACTCACACTATTCGTTCATCATGGGTTTGGTTTCTGGTGACTGAACAATTTAACCAAGTTTTCGTATATTTCTGTACGTGGGATATAAGCATAGGAGAGTTTCCCTTAGAAAACCCGTATAAATCTTCTAGGCAGGTTAAGAAATAGATCTCTCCGCTATTAACCAAATACCCAACGAAAAGAAGGATTACTCTTACGGTTCAAAAATGAATTTTATTTATAAAAAACCTTGTCAAATAAAGGCTATGAAAACTGGTGACATTTTTATAACGCATTTAAGTTGCACTCATATTTTAATTACAACTCATATTTTAACTTTATCCTCATATTAAGCTAAGGAATCATAGTCATTAATCTTATTGTTTAAAAAGAAATTAGCTTCTTTAAAAATTCCTGTTTATCAACGAAATGAAATTTAATTATTTTTTTCCTTTTTGTGTGCGTTCATTTATATCATTCATTCATGATGCTTGTCGCTATAGTCAAAAGTTTATCATTGATTTTTAAATTACTTTCTGGTAAGTTATCGAGCTCAAATTTTGCATACGCACTGTTTGTTGATGACGATACAATGTTGTAAAGCGATTTCTTAAAAATTCCATTTAGAAGTTTTAAAATTTACTTTTGAATAGCATAAAAATCTCAGAATTGTACTG